CGGCCCTGCCTCCCTCCCTCGCCCACTCCCGTCCCTCCCCCCTGGATTTTCGCTCTCGAGCTGCAGCTGTTGAAGCAAAAACCTCCTTTGCAAAAGCAGCATTTCCTCCCGCATGTCCGTGAATTGTGGGTAATGTAGTTTCTCGGTTTGCGGTGGGGTGGGGGGGGTTTGGTTTTTCTGAGAAACGTCTTTTTTTCCTTCTATTTATTTTATTTTTTAGTGTCACTGCAGTGTTATTGTCTCTAGCTTTTTCAGATTAAGATTCTCTTCTCCCGGCTGGAGCTTGGGCAGTAGATCTGATAAAGGGATGGGTCTCCTTCCCTGCAAACCCTGTAGCCCTGGGCTGGATGGGCTGGGGTTTCAGCAAGTAGAAATGCAAAGCTCTCCAGAGCACCCAAGGGACTCAGGAGTAGCTGGAATAGAGTGAGAAGTGTCTGTGGCCTGTGGGAAAGGTGTAACAGTTGTAAACTTCTCTTACAGGCAGGTCTAGGGGTACAACTGCTGGCTGGTCCTGCTGACCATCGTTCCCCTGGGGATCTGGGGATCATGGACTGGGAGATCTGAGCACCAGGGTGAGTTGTGTGTATCCAGCTTCTCAGCAACAGCTGCTGAGTGGTACACAGAGCTCTGGGTGTGTGTCCTCCCTGCCTAGGAGGAAAACAAATTCTAAATAGGAAACCTGGGGCACTGAGAGGTAAAAATTGCTTTCCAGTGCAGCAGCACAGAGCTAAGGCAATGCCTTTTAGGCCTTCCCACCCTGCACTCCCAGCAGGCCTGATGAGCTCCTGCAGTGCCTGGTGGTTTTCAACACTCTGCACTTGCTCTCTGCCCTGCAGCAGGAGGGAGAGACCGGAGCTACTGGGTGATCCTGACAAGTGAATGCCTCAGAAAAGGGAAGGCAGATCTGCTCCTTTCCACCCTCTTGGCAAAGGGTGGGAAAAAACCACAGCATATTGTTATGTTTTGCTTCCGCACGTTTCTCAAAGCACTGGCTAAGTATTTATTTTAAACTTCCTGCTCTCTGTGAAGGGCACAATTACAGTCACTAGCCCTGCAACAGACAGAGAAACTAAGAGCACACTCAAGTTCCAAGCAAGTCACTCACTATCACGTAGTACAAGAAAAATGAAATGAGCATCTCCAAATGAAATATCCAGTTGCTTCAGCAGCCTCCAGAAGGTGCTGAAATCCCTTGACATTTCCAAGGCACTTTCACACTTTTCAAACAAGCTCGTCACAGTTTCTCAGAGCATTATGGATCTGGTGAAACTACATATTCTGAGACTTTAATTTCAGTGAAGCTTCAGCCAGGTCTCGCTTCAACTTGGCTCTCTCTGGTGTTCTGGTCAACTAGGAAATTGCATTATCTCATTCTAATTAAATCAGCTTTTCATCTTCAGCTGGAGTTTTCTCTGGGTTTTGGTCGTGCCTGTCTCTATGGCTGTGCTGCCAGTGATCAGAGCAGCAGCACACTCCAGCCCAGCATGGCTGCACAGAACTGATCCTGTGCCCGAGAGCATGGTGCTCACTGGTGGGGTGGCTGGAGATGTGAGGCCAAGCTGTGCAAGAGAGAATCAGGAGTGTCTGGTGATGCCATGTGGTTCCTTTTGCTGCTCACTTGATGCCCTTGTCTGTGCCTTGTAACACAGCCATGCTCTGTTCTGGGCCCTCATGTCCTTCCAGATGTTTTCCAGGTTTACAGAATGACAGGATCTCCCCTTCACTGTCTCAGCAGCAGCAAGTAAAACCAGCCATGCTGTGCTGTGCTAATGGGCCTGGCTTCATGAAAATACTGCAAAATACTGTATTTTATTTGGGCCAAGCTTTCTTTTTTTTTTGTCCACTGGCAGAATTCCACCCAGGAATGCTACAGGTTTGCTTGCCAGCACTTTGTCTGCAGGTGCTGCTCCTCGGCCAGGTGCTGCAGGGGGCTGGGGGCACCAGAGCTGCCAGGGAATTGCACTGAAGGGGACATGACTGTCCCTTCCATGCCACCCGTGTCTCCAGCGTGGTCTGCGTGGCTGTGCTGGCTGCTGACACCCTGCACGGCCGTGGCTACAGGGGGCATTGTGGCCAGCAGCCCCCAGCCCCAGGGTCTGCAGCACCACGTGCAGGGAGGGTGGGCAGGCGGGAGGGGGCTCAGTTGGGTGAATGGATGTGGAACGTGCAGGGTTTCTCAGTCTGGGTTTGTCTGGGCATTCTCTGAGGCACCCCATGACCCCTATGGATCGGGTGTCAGGCCTGGAATAGCCCTGCTGGAGCAGGGAGCCTGTCTACAGGTTTTGCAGGGTTATTAATAACCCCCCAGGTTGGTGGCTGTTCTGTGAGCTGAGCGTGTCTCTCTGGCTGTGTCCCCTCCTCCATGGGTGCAGCAGGACAGTGCTCAGCATGGTCCCAGCACAAGGACAGGGGACCTTCCCCCCCTCAGCTCAGCTTCTCCAGCTGGGATCAGCAGTGGCAGCCAGCCTGGCTGCAGGAGAGACCAAATTGTTTCCTGCTGCATGTTTTGACAGGGGGTTGCTGCCCCTGCACCCATCCCAAGCTGC